ACCACAGGACCTACTGTGAGATTCAGTTACCATGGGACCTACTGTGAGATTCCACCACCACAGGGCCTACTGTGAGATCCACCACTGCAGGACCTACTGTGAGATCTACCCCTGTAGGACCTACTGTGAGATCCCATCACCACAGGACCTACTGTTGCCATGCCTTCCCCTTCATGACTGATTGTGCCCTCCACAAACCATCAATTCAAATAAACTTCACTCCCTTAATTTGCTTCTTGCCAGGGTTTTGGTGGTACCAACAAAAAGAAGAACAGAGCATGCCCACACTCCATGCCCACACTCCATGTTGCCTGTTCCTTTGGTTTCACCCTGCCTCACCTTGGGAAGACACAGGGTTTGCAGGTTCCTTATTGTTGTGTCTCACGGCAGCCTGCCATGTTCTAGGCTGGCAGGAGAAATTATTTCAGCTTTGTAACGGAGAAACAGGAGTCCAAACACTTGAAGCAACTAAGAAGGAATTAAACCCAGATTCTGCATCTGAATTACAGTGCAGGCCACTAAGTGACGCGTATTCTGTGTTTTTTTTTTTTTTTAAAAGATCAGTTTCTGGTAATATTTAAATGTGGTTTTGAGTGAAAAATTTTCCATTGATCAGATTGCATGTATTCAGTGTCCAATAAAGTTTGTTAGTGCATTTGTGACATTTCAGGGCCATAAAGACTGGTAAATGGAATAAGCTAGTTAATGTGTGAGGGGAACATTTTTCTGTACCTAAAGTAGATTCTGAAATTGTCTCACTATTTGACTAAGACATTGGTCAAACATGACCTGTTAAAAGTACTGATTTTAAAGACTTATTTACCTCTATTTTCTGTGTATAGGTGTTTTGCCTGCATGTTTGTCTGTGCACCACATGTGTGCCTTTTGCCTGAGGAGGTCAAAGGAGGGTATTGGATCCTCTGGGACTGCAGTTACAGCCAGCTCTGAACCACCATGGGGTGCTAGGAACCTGGGTCCTCTGGAAGGACAGCCAGTGCCCTTAACCATTGAGCCATCTCTCCGGCACCTAAGGGGCTGCACTCTGTGTCTTCTGCAGGCACGGCTATACACACCCTCTTGGCTTGGACTAAACCACACCCTAAGCTGGAAATGACTCTCCCCTCAGGAGCAGGCAGAGTGTTTTCTCTTCCTGATGAACATTTAAAAATGTTTCTGTAACTTTAGTACTTGAAGTGGCTGAGTCAGATCTTTTAGTGCAACTGTAGGCACAGTCTTATCTCCTAGTCCTCTATGGACAATATAATTTGATTGAACCTCAAAATGATTCTGGGAATGAAACCCTCATGGGATTGGGCCAGGTTATATAAAAAGCAGGATGCAGCTATGTTAAAGACAAAGTATCCTCAGAGGGGAAAGAAATGTAATAGAAATATGTTACAGACTAAGCTAAGAGTAGAGGCAGCTTTCTCTGTGTCGAGGATGGGTGGTCAGTGAAGAAGGGACTCTCCCTAGGCAGAGCTCCTGGACCTGGCCATCCCAGGCTTCTGGGACTCCTAGAGGCTCATCTGCCAGTGGCCTTCTCTGGGGCGGGCTGGCCTTTCCTATAGCTCTTCTGGTCCAAATTCCATCAGCTTGGGATTCCTCCACAGGTTCAAGTCTTAGCTGGCAGGTTTATGATCACTCTGGCTTGGCCATTTGGCTATTTTCCAGGTCTCACTATTCATGTGCTTCCTCTTTTTACTGCCCCAAGGGAACCAGGCAAGAAAATGATCAACCCTTGGGTTCACAGGGACCCTGCCCCTAACACCAAGTGCGAATGCATTGCAAACAAAGAAAGGAAGTCAATCCCTTTTTGATGATCTCTGGTAGTGAATCAGTCAGTTTTGCAAATATCTTCATACATAAATCCAAAACAAGGCTTCCTGGTTGAAAAGCAATACCTTCAGATCGACTTAGTACTTATTTTAAATCATAAAAAAAAACCCTTACTGTATCCAACGTTCTCTCTATCATGACACAGCCATGGTACCTAAATCAATATTCCTTAAGCAGGCAGAGATTTTTTTTTCTTAAATAAGATTGAGCATGTTCTCCTGAAGTATTATTCTGTGGGTTTTATTGCGATTTTGTTCTGTAAATGTGTGAAAGCCTTCAGACTTGATCTTTCTTGATTATACTTGATATGCAACACTTGCTTCCAACACCTGTGGAAGAATTTTCAGAACCCACAACCCCAAAGAAAGCAGGCTTTCAACTTATTAAATTAGTGTACTTCCAATTTCCCAATATCTTTCCTTGCTCAGCCAGAGGTATTACAAGTTCACGCTTCTCGGCTCAACCGAAAGTTGAAACCTAAAGTCATTTTCTGCTTTATTGACTTGCTGGAGAAGAAAAAAAAATTACTCTGAAAATTATCCTGGTCATTAGAGAGAGTACTTACAATTTTTTTGCCTTCTATTAAAACTGTAGAATTATTGGTTTCAACATTCCGCAGTATGACGTTCCCTTTCCGTTCTCTATAGATGAATTCTTTATCTACAAGAGGGGAAACAGAAAAATACATGAGCCACCCAGAAACCCACCTCAGCGTGTGAAAGGAATTGTGTAGTTCATCTCAGAGAGGGACCTTTCAAATGCGGTGCCGACTTCTGGCTCCCCAGGCGTGGCCTCCAGGGATGCTCATCTCTGAGCCATCTCTGCTCCACAGAGTCAGCACAGCACATGTGTGCAGTCTGCATCTATGCAGGGCTTTCTTGGGCCAGGCATACAGAGTGGATACACCAAGTAGATGAAGTCTGCTACTACAAAGGAGTAGATGGTTGGTAGCAAAGTTACTGGCAGTTTCCTAGATCTGAACTTACTCATGACCACACCCTGAAAGCCAACTTCACTCTCGTCTGTCAGCTCCTAGTGTGAGTTCCCCAGTTTCCTGCCATGGACATCTTTTGAATCTATCATCAGCTGTGGTGACTCTGGTCTTCTCAAAATCCCAATTATTCCCTTAAAAATTGATATTTAGGGGCTAAGGAGATACTCAGTGAGTAAAATGCTTGCTTTGAACGTATAATGTCCTGAGTTTGAACCCAGAATTCACTTAAAAATGTTGGGAAAGGTGTTGCATGTATCTAATCTCAGCGCTAGGGAGGCAAAGACAGGTGGATCCCTGGGGCTCACTGGCTAGCCAGCCTATTCAGTGAACTCCGGACTAATGAGAGACCCTGTTTCAAATGACAGGGTGGACAGTGTCCTCCGATGTCTGCTTTCCATGCCTTTGTACATATGTGCCTGCACACGCGCATGCACACGTGCACGCACACACACACAAACGCACACACAAACAAACCACATGCTAGAAAGTGTACAAGTGCATGCAAATCTATGCCTGCACGCGATGCAGGTGCAGTTTCTGAAGGGCGGGACTGTGGCTGGAAAGGCAGGGCACAGCCCGGAGATGGGGAAAGTGAAGGTGAGGGACTGAGTCGATAGGACGGCAAAGGCATTTTACACCAAAGAGGTGGCAGAAAAGCAGCACGCAGCCTGGACCATTCTGCAAGGGAAGTTAATAGAAGTCAGGTAGGTACAGATATGGGGAGAGGGAAGGTTCCTGCATAGCCTACTTGGCTCCAAGGCAATCCGCTGCATGCATTATGTAAATTAGACTTGAGAGCTTAGTGCTGGGTACAGACTGACACGTGGGTGGCCCTGTTTTTCTTTGTTGTCCTGACAACACTTCCTGCTGCATGTCACACAATTCCTATTCTTCTCCTTTGGAAACTTGTCTCCTTCTCCATGACACTTTTACACACTGGCATCATCACAGTGGCCTTAGTTTTACACGACAAATTTGAAGCTTCCACTTAGGAAAGCACTCAGGAGGTGGCTGCTTGTTGTTTTTATACAGAGCCTGCAAAAAAGGGGTCACTAACAAATTTGACACAAACCTATCTCTCTTCATTTTCTAGTTTCTAAGAGTGAATTTTTAAAAAATGATTACTTTTATATTTTGTGCACGTGTGTGTGTGTGTGTGTGTGTGTGTGTGTGCGTGCGTGTGTGTGTGTGTGTACAGTACTAGAGGTCAGAAGAGGATGTCAGACCCCTGGAGATGGAGTTCCAGGTGGTTGTCAGTTTATGTAATTTGAGAGCTGGGAACTGAACTTTGGTCTTCTACAGGAGTAGCAAACATTCTTAACCACTGAGTCGTCTCTCCAGCCCCAGCAACGGGCAAATCTGTGACGGTCAAATCTGCCTTCACCTTGGAAGACATAACAGTGTGTAGTGACACAGGCGGGAGTCCCCAGCAGCCACTTCTAACCCTGTCCACAGCATAGGCTCTGTTCTAGGAACCGCCACCTCTGTAGGGAAGCCATTTCCATAGCCGCTCATTTAACCTGCCTGATAAGTGAAATCAACAACAAGACTGCCGCCACCTCTGTAGGGAAGCCATTTCCATAGCTGCTCATTTAACCTGCCTGATAAGTGAAATCAACAACAAGACTGCCGAAAGCAAAGAGTGGAAGCTGAAGGCTCCAGAAAGCAGAGAGCAGGAGGAGTGAGGGCACAGGAGGGGAGCTGGGGAGAATATGATCAGAAGACATTGTATACATGTATGGAAAGCCATAATGAAATCCATTATTATGTACACTTGAAGCAGGTAGGTAAAAACAAGATGAGAATGGTTGACTCCTGCCTGCTTTCAGAAGCATTTTTGATTTTTCCTTTCAAAAATGAGGCTTTAGTTCACATGGAAAGGACTTGTTTGTGCATGAGGCAGGACTGAGTTTTATCTATTTACACTCAGAGTGTCCCAGGGAACTCTGATGTCATTACTCGCTCAGTGATAAGTCATATGTTCTCAAAGCTTCGCCAGCAACCCTTGCGTTCCTGGGGTCTGATGTGGTTGTTGTTGTGTGTGTGTGTGTGTGTGTGTTTGCGTGTGCACATCTGTGCATTCATACATGTGAGTTCAGGCATGTATGTGCCACAGTGCAGGTATGCAGGTTAGAGAACCACCCAGAGTGTGGGGCCTCACCTTCTACCTTGGTTGAGACAGGGTCTCTGTTATTCCCTGCAGTGTGCTCCACGCTAGCTGTAGCCGCAGGCTTTAGCTTACGGCTTTCCATCCCATCCCAACACCTGCATCTGTCCTTCGGCACTTCCACCTTCTGCTGGTTTCTGGAGATTTTCAGCAAGTCTTGGGTGCAGTGAGCCAAGCCTGAAGCTCTTCCTGCTCTTCCCAGTTGTGCTGTCCAGTCTACACCCTTGCTTTTCTGAAAAATTTCAAACTTAAAGAAGTACTTAGGATCAGGCCACTGTGGCAGCGAATGCACAGTTCATCTCGACGACTGCGGCTGCTGTGGCATTCTGGTCTTCTTTCTTTGACTGTCACTTCAGCATTTTCAATATCTTCCATTGAAGGATACCCACTCTATCTAACGATGGGTTTAGTAAGACAATTTCCTTCAATTGCATGTCATGCACTTTGACAGGGGATGCAACCGGAGACCACCAGACGGAGGGATATAAGTGAGACTCAGGAAGACAAATGCCCTGTGATTTCTCTCATCTGTGGATTCCAGATTACATGCAGACAGGTCAAGCTTTTCAAAGCTGAGGTGGCACCAAGGATGAAGGGAATATTAGTGTCCTAGTTATTTTTCTGGTGCTGTCATAACCACCATGACCAAGTGCAATTGGGGAGGAAAGGGTTCATTATATCTTACAGATTGGAGTCCATCATGAAGGGAGGTCAGGGAAGGAACTCAAGGCAGGAACCTGGAGGCAGAAGCTGAAGCAGAGGCTGTGGAGAAGTGCTGCTTATTGACCTGCTCCCTGTGGCTTGCTCAGCCTGCTTTCTTATAGAACCCAGGACCATCTTTCTAAGAGTGGTACCTCCCATAGTGACGAGGCCCTTCTACATCAATACTTAGTCAAGAAAATGTCCCATAAATATTTCATAAATGAGCCCAATTTCTCAGCTGAGGCTCACACTTCCAAACTGACCTGAGTTTGTGTCGAGTTGACAAGAACTAACCAGAACAGTTCATTCCTCTGGTCCCAAACAACTTATTTACATCTTCTTAGAGTCAAGTTGACATTGCCGTCACTTCAGTATATGGATTTTGATCACCATCTAATAATACATCAGCCCCAAACGTTCTGGCACTTTACGGAATTGTAATCATCACTTAGCTGTTATTCAGTCATTTCTATTGATTTAATATAAAATTAAATTTCATTATTGAAGTTTTATTCAATGTACTTTTTAGTTCTAGCCCACTAGAAAAAAATTCCCTAAGAGGGTTATCACTTTCAAAACCAGGTCAGGTCCCAAAGCGATGTACATTTCCGTTCAGGCCTGTGAGCATCATCGGATTATCAGGGACAATGCCAGAGAGGCCTGAAGAGGCCTGTTGGCTTTGTTCTTGATGTTAGGTAGGGGGCAGCATTTCACCCCTGAACTTGAGAGTAGCTATAACAGCTCTCTCTTTTAAGTAGACTTTGTAAGTCTGAGTCTGTGAGCTTGAACTGCTCAGTTGTTGAGAGTCTTCCCTTGAAAGGTTGGTGAAGTTACCACATGAGTTTCGGTTAATCCAATGAGCTGTGTCTTTAGATGCACTCCAGGACTAGGCCCGCTGCACATGCTGTAATGTGCCACTTCCCAGAGTCTTGGTTCCAATTTGACAATGCTTGGCTCAGGCTTTGGCATCTGAGATCATGGGAGATATTGGTTAGTTTTGATCTTTTATCTCGTTCTTGGCTTCTGTGGCTCTAGAGTAGGAGCATTATTGACTTCATAACATGCATTGGGAAGTATTTGAACGAGTTCTGCTTTGTGAATAAATGTAGCCTGGATTTGCATAGTTTAGTAGTGATATCATCTGGGCCTCAGGTTTTCTTTGTGGAAGGCTTGCGATCCCAGACCCAAATTCTTCAATTGATACAGAGATATTCACACTCTCTATTCTTGGATCTGTTTTGATGAGGTGAGTACTCAAGAAAACCATCATGCGATAGAGTATGTAAATGTTTTTAAAATAGTGTAGGGAGAGGACATTTCTTTCGCATCCATAACAAAAGACAGATGAACAAGAGAAAAGCGGGCAAATTATAAAAAAAGGGTTTTATTGGAATGAAACTCTTCAGAGAAGAGCTAGAGAAATGGGAAAGCTGTGTCTTTCTATGCTTCAGACTGATAGGAAGTGGGCAAGGATGGGAAACAGGAAGGGACCAAGGGAACACAATTGCAGTGACAATTAGGGTTCAGAACAGCTTGCATGAACCTGTTCTTCTCTGTGCCCCCGAGTGTTTAGTGATAGGAGCATCTCCTTCATATGCATGCCAGGGAGGCACTTCTGGAGTGGTCTTAGGATCTGTGTAGGAGCAAGCCAGAGAAGTCCTTGGCATTCTGCTTTGGGGAGGACAGGCCAGGGGACTCTTGCTTCTGCTACTGTATGACCCTTGAATTCCAGTGCCTTATATTTGGGGGGGGATCTCATGTCTTGAGTCCCAACTTTGCTCTTAGTACTATTTGATC